CATATTCTTGTATCTTTGCCATAAGTTAAAACCAGATTAATCCACAATGTATGAAATCTTAATAAATAAAACTTTCTATAATGCTTTCAAAAATTAAAAATTATTAAGGCTGGAGGTACACCTCAGTGATAAAGCACATATATGAAGTGCAAGGCCTTGGATTCAATCCCAGCACCTCCACATACACATTAAAATTCTTAAAAATAATTTCCCAGATTCTTAATTTCACTACTATGGAAAGACAGAACATTGCTTAATAGCCTCAATTACCCACTCTTGTCAACATAAAGAGCCCCTAAAGCAATTATCAAAATGCGTATGTAGTTTGTCCAGTGGCATTAATTCGCTTTTTTATAGTTAAAAATTTTGTTGACATGTGATCCTGTTCCCATTGGACAACATAAAACCTCTGCAGAGGAACTAAAAACACTTGCCCCTCTCCACACCTCCATCCCCTTAATTCTGGATGGGTCACAGTACTATAGTATAGAACTTTCCAACCTCTACTCCCACCCTGAGATTGCTGGGGATCTAACCCACAGCCTAGGACATGCTAGGCAAGTGATGTACGGCTGAACTATACACCTCTAGCCCCAGCACATTTCTTTTCACATAATACTGCATTCAATCAAATGCAACAAGTTATTAATACTTCAATCAAATAACAAGTTATTAACAACTTATCAATACTACCTTTAAAAGCAGTATTAGGCACTTTCTGGCAGTTCCTGCTCAAATGCCTAAGGCCTTATATATGCAGAACAGTCAACAATATAAGATCATGTTATTAAACACCAATTTAAATGCTGCAGGCAACAAAGACCAGATTGTCATTATTTTAGAAAATAAATTTTAAAAGATAAGGAATTTATAGTTAGAAAAGGAAATATATGCCAATATCCAAGTAGTACAATGACTATAATATTACCAGAATTTTAGTTCTCTCATCCATAAAAGTATCAATCTGGGCTGGGGAGGTGGCTCAAGCGGTAGTGCGCTCCCCTGGCATGCGTGCGGCCCGGGTTCGATCCTCAACACCACATACAAAAAAAACCACAGATGTTGTGTCCGCCAAAAACTAAAAAAAATAAATATTAAAAAAAATTCTCTCTCTCTCTCTTAAAAAAATTATCAATCAAACTTAAAAATAATTGAGAGAACAAATGATAATGAGGACCAGGTTCTATATTTATGAAGCTTTTGAGAAATATTTCTGATAATGTTAAATGATAATACCTTTCCAGAAGTATCCTTGATAAATGCAGATTAGTCCTAACTACTTCAACCAAAAGCCACTATCTTTTAAACACAAAACAATAAATCAAAATAATAAGCATATATGATACATGCATCGATGAGTATAAAGCACAAATATCAATTAAAGTCTGTAACTGCCATGCTGAGTATAAAAATTATACACATAGCAGAAGTTAAACTAAGGTTTCATTTAAATGTCGTACCAAACCAGCAACAAAGCTAGAACAATCCAAAAAGCCTTCTCTGCAGTTAACTATTGGGTTACATAATACAGCATCTTTCTTCATGAAATGCAGATTTCTCAACATGCTTAGACTTCAACAACTAAGGTTCACTTTATAGTTAATGATCTTCAGGAGAACAGCAGATTTGCTTTTTTTGCTTCAGTATTCATATTGTATACTCATTAGTTTTATTTTAAATAGAGCAACTTTTCCAGTTAAAAAAAGAAAAAAATACAGTAACAATTGTAGAAGAAATAACAGTGGCAAAAAATTTCCAATTCAAACATAATTCTCTCTTTCCAAAGTACATAGAAACAGGTTACCTTCATAATGAATTATTTTCATAAAAGAGACTTAAAAGCAAGTAAAACATCTCAGTCTGTAGAGTATAACTAAATCTTACACCACTTGCCTAGTGGGCCCTGGGTTTTATCCCTAGAACTTTAAAAAAAACAAAACTATATTATAATCAGGACCACAAGCAGACATGATCAGATTTAAAATCAATGTGAGCATCAGCTAGGCGCAGTGGCACATGCCTGTAATCCCAGTGGCTTGAGAGACTGAGGCAGGAGGATTGCAAGTTCAAAGCCAGTCCCAGCAAAAGCGAGGTGCTAAGCAACTCAGTGAGATCCTGTTTCAATAAAATACAAAACAGGGGTGGGGATGTGGCTCAGTGGTCAAAATGCCCCGGAGTTCAACGCCAGTACCCCCTGCCCCCCAAAAAGAGCAAAAAAATCAACTTGAGCCTCAAGTTCCTTTGGCAAAAGCATGCATGACTCACTGCTTTAGAGCTCAATGATATAAATTGGAAAAATCCTTCTGCCTAATATTTTGCTTTGGATTTGTTTTTTAAGACATCTCCATCTTAATGTTGACAACTTCTACATTTTCTGTGGCTTATTTATCAAGACAACAAGTTGTGAATCACATTCACATACATATATGTATGTATGTGTGTGTGTATATATATATATATATGTGTGTGTGTGTGAGCGTGTGCGCACACCTTAGTATATAACCAAAAGGAAAACACTTATTCCTTTCTTTTTTAAAATATAGACAAAGCAACAAGAATATTCTAAGCCAGAACACCAAAAATTTTGAGATACTGATTTCCTTCCCAGAATATTTCCACTAAATATACACTAAAGAGGTATTTTACCTGGAAATATCTATATATTAGAAAATTTAAAGCAGATTCCAAAAACTCCACTAAAAATAAAATTCATCCCAAGCTCATTAAAAGTTTTATATTTATAAGATTGTGAAAATTTTAAAAAATTGATCTCCAAATTAAGCAAAATATTCTGACACATGTATCAGAACCATACACACACACCAAATTATCTGAAGATCCTGATCACTGAAAAATTGACACCTTGTGCTTTTATAATTACAAATAGTAGAGATGGGGATAGGTTAGACACACAATAGAGTGAATAATCATTCCCAACCTACTCATTCCTTACTATATTAACCCTTCCACTTTCTAATCACATTAAAGAGAAGAAAAATGTAAAAACATATAAGTTGACAAAACAATTACAAAGCTCATCAAAATCATATTTATCTCTTTAATTTGAAATTGTTTTTTAAAAATGTCTACTTATGAATGCTCCATTCAAGATGTTAAAGTGACCTATCCTCTCTTATGGTAGTATCTCACAAAAAAGTCCCTTTCAAGGGGTGACACAAGAGAAAAAGATCCATGTAAAGAGCCTATAATGCAAGTTATTTTATCCTTCCCCCCCCCCTCATTTTTCATGTTCATTTTTTAAAACTCAAAGACAGATGACTGTTTTAGTGCAAGCTAAAGTAAAAGAAAACATTTGTACTATTCTTATCAGATTTGTTTGCAGAATACCAACTATTTCTTGCCAGTTATTTTTATAACTCATTAATTTATACTTATTTGACTAGAACAATAAAAAAATTAACAAGAGTATATATGTGTGTTTATGTATTTTACATATATACACTAATAGACAATAAGTCTGCTTTAGTGCAGGGATATTGTATTTTCTTCCAATTATTCAATGCCCATATTGCAAAAAATATGGAAAACATGAGATTTTAAGATTTACTATAGAGAAATGCCTTTGTTGAAGCAACAATTAGTATCAACCTTATAAAACATAGAAGAGAAAAATGCTATGAAAGGGCAATCTGGCATTTCACAGCTCCTGTTCTCTTACTCCACCCAGTCTTCTTGGCTCAATGGCTGTTCACAGCATACACAAATATTAGCCCATTTTTTAAAAAGAGGTGGGAGAAGGTACCAAAATAGAGATTGCTCCATCAAAATCAACATATTCAGAAATTTTTCATGTAAAAAATTGGGTTCCTTTCTCTGATCTCAAAAAATATACTAGCTTAAATTTGTTTTAGGAGGTCCCTTCTTAACAATCCAAACAATGATCATTTATAATAGAATAAATCGCCCCATAAATTACTCTTTTGCTTTAATAAAAACCTCAATTTGCACCTGCCAATTATTTTGCAAAACTGTTCTGAAAGAACCTCATTGGAAATTAAAAGATGTCTAATGTCTTAATACCAAACCAAAATTTTTACGTGAAAGCTTTTAACATCTTCAACCTTATATCACTACCAACATACACAAGTAGAAAATATTCCCCATTAAGGGATTGAACCCTGCAGCAATTAAGCTCTGCTGGGGGTGGGGAGAATTAAGCAAATACTACTGTGGCAAAAGGGGAGGGATGACAATATTACTGTATAAGCGGCCCAAGCACTGTCTCCTCCGCCCTAGCCTCAAAAAGAAATTCACACAAAACAATCCACCCCCAAAAAAAATAGAATTGCCAAAAATGGCACAAATATTTTGTTTAGCCTTTAAAATGTTATGAGTCTTAAGGACTGTGTGCTCAAAGTAAAGGCTGGAATAACAGGAGTTATCTTTATTTTCTCCTGAGAGCCTCTTAAGGAAAGGGGGGGAGTCCTTGGCATGACATCGCCCATTGAGAACAAGATTACAAATCTGGTCCTTCTCTCCAAAAGCACAATTTCTTAACTAAAGGATTGGTATGAACTGGACTCAAACCCCAACCTGAAAGGAAAATTTCCTGCCCTTCTCTCAAGGAGTTTCTTGCTAAGTCACTGAAGAAAGACAGAAAAACAAATAAAGCCGGGCACCTTGTTCTCCCCTATCTCAAATACTGAAAATATCCTCCTCTCCAATGTGATGTTTTAGAGAGGAAGAGTCAAAACCTGCCACCACCTCAAAGGCATTTTCTCACCTGGAAGGCTAGAGGGTAAATAGATACAGGCACTGCATTTCCTAAAGCAAAGGGGAGATGAGATGAGAGGAAGGGAAATGGCAGAGGCCCTCGAAGCTCAGTGTTAACAACGTCAAAAGGCAACTCCCGTCCGAGGAGCCGGTGGCAGAAAAGAAAACCCTGCCCGATTTGGTGGGTGGATGCTGCAGATTGTTTGGAACAGAGGGGCCGGGCCGCAGAGGCTGGACCACTGCATCGGTGTGGGGGAGGGGGGAGACTGGGAGGCGGCGGTCCATCCTCCTCAGGTCAACCCCATCTTAAGGACAGGTGGGGGACGGAACGCCTGGAAGGCCCGGTAGGTGCCTAAGCCTGGGCCCCGAGCCTACAGCCGCGGAGGGGTGGGGACTGCGGAGCTCGCCTCCGCGGCCGGGGAGAGAAGGAGGGCCGAGCCCTTTCCCCAAGATCAGAGAGCAACCTGCTCCCCACGCCCTTCCTACCCAAGAATACTTTTCCTGCTAAGTCACCGCGGAGGAGGGCGATCCCCTGTCTGGGAAGACCGCGGGCGGAGTCGTGGCGGTCCCGGCAGCCCCCGATCCCGGGCCGGGAGGACGCGAGCGAGGGCAGCGCCCTCCCCGGCCAGGCCCCCCTTCTCCGTGCCTCTCACTCAACGGCCGTCGCGGCCGCCATTTTGAGAGCGAGGAGAGAAGAAGAAGGAGGAGGCGGCGGCAGGGGGAGGGGAGAATGGGAGGGAGGGGACCGGCGCAGCCACATCGTCAGGCCGCCGGGCCCGGCCCGCAGCCACCCAAGCGCGGTGGAGGAAACAGAGGGGAGGGCACAGACCCTTGCCGCCTTACCGGAGCGCTGCACCGACGCCTCCGCAGGGCCTCTTCCGTCCTTCACTCCCATCCACCGGCGGGGGAGGGGGAGAGGGAGAGGGAAGGGAGGAAGGAGGGAGGGAGGGAAGGAGGGAGGGGGAGGATGGCGCGCTGGGCCCGGTCCCGGGGAGGGGGAGGGGAGGGGAGCGGGCGGGCTCCTCGGCCGTTCCGGGGCTCGAGCCCAAGCCCGGCGCTCGCGGTTTCTCTCGCTCGCGCCCGAGCGTTCCCCTCCTGCTCTTTCTCGCTCCCTAGACCCTCGGGTCGCTGCTCGTTCACTCGCCCACTCGCTATCTCCGCCGCCGGACTCCGCCGCCGCCCCGCCGCTCCAGCTCCGTCTGTCACAGGAGCTGCCCCAACGCCCTGACGTCACCGCGCCGCCGCCGCCGCCGCCGCGGCCGCCGCCGCCCCAGACCCGCCAGGAAGAGGGAGGGGAGCGGAGGATGGGCTGTGGCGCATGCGCCAGACTGGGCCAAGCCGGGGAACCGCGCTGCCTTCTTCCTAGCGGCCGGGCGGCGGCCGCGAGTACTGGCTGATAGTGCGGCGGTTCGGACCCGCGAGTTTGCGCACCAGGCGCAGCTTTTCACGCTTCCCATGCTTCTGTAGCCTTCGGAAAAGGTTCTTTTTTTCCTAGTCCCTCGTCTGACGGTTGTGGCCCCTCACGAATTCGCTCTTCTCACCTCACCGCCCTGCTTCTATCCTCATACTGCGCTTACCCAGCTTCCCTACCGACAGCACGGACCGGTTGGCATCTGTGCCTCCTGGGCCCGGGTAGGCTGGAGTGTAAGCAGAGCTGGAGCCAGGATGTCGCCCCTTCTGCCTCCAGCCCGCGGGATTATGTCACCAAAAAAATAGGAAGGGAATAGGTATGTAGGCTTGGGAAGAAAAGCTGTTAGGCTAAAAGGCAGTTAGAATGCCTTAATTCTCTTCCTTTGTATTATAGATTTTTAAAAGGATTCACTTTGGGATGTGATTCGGCTATTCTTTTAGTCAGACACACATACATCAGAGACACTCGAAGTCTCGAAACTGGCATCCAAAGAAAGATCTGGAACTTTATCCTTACTAGGAATGTCTGTGTGTTTGCCAAATTATGAGTTGAGATACTGATGACAAGGAAGTCTTGGGGATATGTAGTGAGTTTATTTCACATGGACACGTGATTTTTAAAAAGGCCAGGTTTGACGTTCTGAATAATTTTAATACAGGATACTCTTTTAATAGGAGATATTTGAATGAAATCACTTTATCGTTAATTTGTATTGTTCAAGGAAACTCTTCTTGAAACATAGGTTTACTAATTGCTTATTTGATTTGATTTTTATACTGGGGACTGAACCCAGAGGCGCTCTACCACTGAGCTACTAATACTTCCAGTTACCGAGTATAACATTAGAGAAGCATGCCGAGGCAAGTATATAAAGCACGGTTTATTTAAAAAGGGGTAACATAGAATTCTCCCAGGAGGGAGAAGGGTTAGGGTTAGGGTTAGCTGGTATCCTGGTATCCCAAGAAGTGAGGGGGTTCTAGCTTTTTTATATGTTCTAGGCTTCCTTTGTTCCCTTTATCTCTCTCCTTCCTGCTTAAGTGACTAGGCCCAGGTGGAAGCACAGCGTGCATTAACAACTTTTATAACTCCCTGTAGAGAGGCACAATCCCTGGGACAGGTTATCTTTGCAACAGGTTGGAGCAGGGGCAGCTTTTCTGGATAATGGTGGAGGAAGGGTTCTAAAGTCCTTTTATATTTTAATCCCTTTCCAACTTCCCAGACTCAAATTGGCCTCCTTGATCCATCTGACCTGATTTACCTATCTATATGACTGTTTCTTTTAATTCTGGCTTCACAACTACATCTCCAGTCCTTTTTTTTTTTTTTTTTTTTTTCAGTTTTCGGTGGACACGACATCTTTATTTTATTTGTATGTGGTGCTGAGGCTCCAACCCAGCGCCCCGCACATGCCAGGCGAGTGTGCTACCGCTTGAGCCACATCCCCAGCCCCTCCAGTCCATTTTAATTTTGTTTTGAGACAGAGTCTCACTAAATTGCTGAGGTCAGGGGCCTCGAACTTGCAATCTTGCTGCCTCCTCTCCAGTCTCTGGAATTATAGTGTGCCGTCACCACGCCCAGTTTATGTTTATTTATTTAATGTCTTCCCTTTATGTAGGTAAATATTACACTGCATTGGGAAGCCACACAGTTAACATTTCTGGTGTGAACCCTTATTCTACCACTTGCCAGAAGTGTGATTTTTTTTTTTTTTTAGTTGTGGATGGACACAATACTTTTGTTTGTTTATTTGTATGTGGTTCTGGAATCTAACTCAGTACTTCACACATGCTAGGCAAACGCTCTACCCCTGAGCCATAACCTCATCCCCTCAGAAGTGTGATCTTAAGTAAATTATCAGACCCCTTTTTGGCTGCTTTTTCTTTCATTTTTTGTGTGCACCTATTGGATAGATATAATGCCTGGCCTAGTGGAGAACACCTATTGTCCCAGCTGCCAGGGACACTGAGGCACCAAATGTGCTTAAGCCCAGGCTTTTGGGAAACATGGGAGAGACCTTGTCTCTTAAAAAGTAATAACCCAATAAATTACACTTAATAAAAAATTTGTAAGGCTTTTGTGAGAAATAGAAGATGCTGCATATATTATCAGTCTCACCTTAGTGTTGACACAGGTAACTCATGTAACAATTACTGTTGCTTGGTACCAAAACAAGTCTGCTTTTTTCAGGAAAGTTTGTATTACTAAAAGTGTTCAAAAGCAACATGAGCCAATAGTCCACAGAGTTTGGGTTTTTATTTTCATGAAGGTAGGAAACTAAATTAAATGGGTTTTGGAAAGTCTTTTTCAAGTTTTGGTTTTAGGGGTCTCTAGTTGGAAATAAAGACAAGATAAGGCACAGAAGATTGGGCTTCACTTTTATTTTTTAATTTTTTTTTAATTGCTGGTTGATCTTTATTTATTTATTTATATATGGTGCTGAAAATCGAACCCAGTGCCTCACACATGCCAGGAAAGTGCACTATTGCTGAGCCACAGCCACAGCCCCAGCCCCTGGGCTTCACTTTTACTTATATCAGAAAACAGTCAATAAATCAATCCTGGCACGGTGATACATGCCTGGAACCCCAGCAACTTGGGAGGCTGGGGCAGGTGGATCACAAGTTCAAGGCCAGCCTAAGCAACTTAGGCTGTCTCAACCAAAGAATAAAAGGTACTAGGGATGTAGCTCAGTTGTAGAATACTCCTAGGTTAAATATCCATACCAAAAAAGAAAGAAAAGGGGCTGGGGATGTGGCTCAAGCAGTAGCGTGCTCGCCTGGCATGTGTGCGGCCCGGGTTCGATCCTCAGCACCACATACAAAGATGTTGTGTCTGCCGAGAACTAAAAGATAAATATTAAAAAATTCTCTCTCTCTCTCTTAAAAAGAAAGAAAAGAAAAACCCATAGAATCAGTTAAATCTCTCTCTCTCAACCACCGAGTCATATCCTAGCATCTTGGCTCTTTTATTTTTTAGTTTGAGACAGGTTCTTGCTACCACACCCAGTCAAAACTTATTCTTAAACCTTGTTCTAAGAATCCAACCTTGTATTTTTTTAATAAATGCTCTAAAAGTCAACAAAATTGTTTCACAAGACATCAGAGAAGCACATTGATAAACACCAATTTATATACAAATAGGTAGCACTAACCTTTATAAATTTTGAGCTCACGGACTCATGTATTTTGAAACCTTTAAAATTTTTAAAACCAGGCTAGGGTTGTAGCTTAGTGATAGAGCACTTGCCTAGCATGTGTGAAGCACTGGGTTTGATTCTCAGCACTACAATGTAAACAAAGTCCATTGACAACCAAAAAAAAAATTTTTTTTTAATCTTTAAAACCTTTAGAGATCTTCCAAATTTTAAATTATGTATTAAATTGAAGTCAATTTTATTTTTATAGCAGTCCTTCAAAATACAAGAAACCCCCTTTGGGGGAAGGTATAAAAACTTTCTAGATTATGATTTTTCTGAACAGAAAACTATTATATGCTTAACCTAATGTGAAGCAATGTGTTAGGGTTCTGTGCACTTTCTTTCAGTTAGTTGCTAACACTAGAGATCCATTTTAATGAGCACTTGTCTACTGAAAATAATTAGGACATCTATGCTATCAATCATAATTCATAAGAACTTATACAGAACTGACTATATCCATCCAAAAAACATTTAATAATAGATATTTTGAATGCTGTTTCTTGAAGGAAAAAAAAAAAGTATAAACCAGCTGGGTTCAGCGACCCATACCAGTAATCCCAGCTGCTCCGAAGGCTGAGACAGGAGGATCTTGAGTTCAAAGCCAATCTCAGCAATTTAGCAAGGCACTTAGCAATCAGTAAGACCCTGTCTCTAAAACAATATACAAAAAAAAAAGTCTGGGGATGTGTGGCTCAAGGGTTAAGCATCCTTGGGTTCAATCATCCCTGGTATCTAAATAAATAAATTTTAGAAAGGGCTGGGAATGTGGCTCAGTGGTTAAGTGCCCCTGAATTCAGTCCCCAGTTCCAAATAAATAAATAAATAATAAAGTATAAACATCCGTTTTACCTACCACAATCTAACAATCTCTCCATTCATTTGAATTGCAAATCTTTATTTTTCCAGCAGAAACTTTCAAAATGGAAACATTTGTTTCAATTGCTGCAATAAAATTAGTGTTACTTTAAACAATTCTGCAAATAAGCTGACTGGAAGAAACACTCCAAAAATATTGCTATTAGGGAGAGAACAAAATGTCTCCTGAAAGTATCTCTAGAGCAAAAATCTGTTTACAATGAGTACAAATGTTAAAACATTATTTGAGAATTCAATTGCCCTCTATAGTTTATAGGCAATTGTGCATTGGTGTATGTACAAATTTTATAAAAAGCAATTAGCAAATGGGGAGAAGGAAGCTTTGGGGCATACAAGTTATATGAATTAAAGTCCCATTTAAAAGAGAAATATGACCCAACTGGCAAGGATTCACTCTAGGAGATTTCAGATAATTTGTGTACCTACATTTCCCAAGAGCATGGATATGTCAATGAGGACAGATCCAACTAGACCAGTCATTCTTCATATTGGCGTCATGACTTCTTCATGTGTCATGAACATTGGGAGGCCATAGAAACAAATTAAGGGCTGTTATAAGAGATTGAAACTTTCAGCCTAGATATAGAAATATTTTAATCTGAATCCTTTTCCTTGAACGCCCAGGGGTATTATAACATTGAGCTACATCCCCAGATTTTTAATTTTTTCATTTTGAGACAAGATCTTTCCAAGTTACCCAGGCCAGCCTCCAAATTGTGATTCTT